AAAACAGTTATTCATTATTCAATGTCAATAAAATTGTATGCTGGAAGTTACATACTTTATGATTTGCTTTATTTGACGATCATAAAACTAATAATTTGAGCTTAACAAAAAATCTAATCTCTGACCCATCTTTCTTCCCCATCTTAGTAATTTCATCATGAAAATATGGTATATCGATCCTCGTCTCATAAATCATGGTATCTTTAAGGTGGACATCTGGAAGGTGTATTTATTTTCCTATATGATGTTACAGAGTATATTTTTTTACAGTAGTTACTAGGTTGTGGGAATGATTAGACTATATTTATAACCCCAACAGATGCAAGTAGTACAGATGTATATATGCACAGACGCACATACCAAAGATAAATAATTAATTGCTTATACCTCCTACCAAATTAGAAACATACATATATGTGTATATTGTAGGCTTAGCAACTAATACCCAAGATAGCAGTAAGACACATTTCTTCCTAACTCACCCAGTGAATAATAGTTATTATTATTATTACTATCATTATTATTACTGTTCCTATAAGGTCATTTAACCACTGACCCTTTCGTTTAGCCGCAATCATGAAGTTTCAGTGATTCATTAAACAGTTCGCCAGATGACTATTTGTGCCTACACTAACATATAAACATATAAGTAAGGTGTTAGTTCAAGTGAATAAACAGGTGGTAGACAACTTTTTTATGCCTAAAATACACGATTTTTTTTTCAAAAAAATTCATTCCTAGTTGTGGTATTTTAATAATTATAACTTGACATTTATTCATTTTCACCAATGTTAATTATAAAGTTGCTTGTTTTTGTAATTATAGACTTGGTGGAATTTAATCACTGAGGCATAATACAATGGTAATATTGTTCTTTATATTACCTTAAATTATCATAATGAGTAAAGTTTAGTGATTCTAAGAGTCAATTAATATTGAGGAATATGTGAGATAAAAATAATCATTTTGTATCGTAAAACTTATCTTAGTATATTTTACTGTTTAATACTTTTGTTATGATAATTACAGTTTCAAGTTAGTCTTGATAAAGACCCGAGGTTTACTGGAGAACTGGTTGAATTCAGGATAACATTGGATACTAGCAAACATTAGACAGTTATTTCGTTCTAGAATGTGATTTGTTAGCAGAGCTTAATCACGACCACAACACAGATCGAATTCAGGATATTCAAGATTCGTGATAAGCTCTTAACCTTCAGACCACTGAGTCTGCACCCAATGAGTTGCATTTCTATTCAAGTTATTAAGTAACCGTCAACTAATGGTATATGTGAATAACTGATACACACCCGACATGCTCAAACTCCATGATTATGGCTTCTTACCAGAACTCCGTGAATTATGACAATCACTACAAACCAGAAACAACTGAATAGCTGGTTTTTTCCAGTTTGAAACTTCTCAGTCTATTACTTCAATTGTAAACCTTAATGATCTACATAAGCTCCTTACACAAAGAATAAACAACTGTTTCATATTATTTTGAAACTCTTAGATAATGAGCAGAACTGAAGATCGATATCAGGAACTTGAGATCCAGAAATGTACATATCACCATTAAACCATAGAGTCAGAATTTGATGGTTCATATTTGTAACTTCAATCAGTTTTGGCACAATCATTACTCGATGCCATCACTGGGTAAATGCCTTTCATTCGATCGATCACAACTTTGGGGATTCCTCTAGAAGCTATAAATATTGTTACAATAACTTGCATTGTTAAGTTAAGGGGTTTTATAGAGAATACTCAATCTGAAGTTAGTTTATATCACAGAATGACATCTATATTCACATGTTATATTCTGTTTTAATTGACACTGTTCTTTTGAAATGTGACCAATTTATGTGTATCCTTTTCCCAAATAATTAGATTTAAGTTCATAGGCAGGTGATGATAATTGACCAAGTAAATGAGATTAGATTTCTATGTTGTATTTTAGTGAAAAACACAATTTTCTTTTACATTGTTTATAACTAGTCACGTTGAATTACATACATTTAACATGTTATAATGTTTCAATTATTGTTTCTTGTGGATGATGAGATACTGATACATAAGTAGCAATAAATTATGATAATGATTTGTCTCTAAACCTAATGATTACCATAAAGTGGATTTCTAGTAGCCTATACATGTTCAATTTATACTATCCAGGGTATCAACTCCCTGACTGAAGGGGAAAAAATGGAAGTCAGTTGAATTATTGGATTAAATATTTTTCTTACTAGAATGTAGGAACGTAACACAAATTCATGATTCTTGTCTGAGAAATAATTCAGTATAATCAATTGAGAAGTTATCTTACAAATTCTGATATTCTCTCTCTTTATATATTAATATTACCACACTGTTTTATGTGTACATGCATATTATATCACTTAGTGTCTCGTTTACTCCTAACTTATGTACTCGGTGACTAATTATAAAACATTATAAACTTTCAAAAAAAATCATCTCATGACAGCCAAACTGTAGAAACTCTTCAAAATACCCTTCAAATTTCGAACTGAAAACATTATACTCTAGTCAGACAGAAACCTCATCAGAGAAATATGTAATTTCTAGTGACTGTAATCTTCTAGTAAGATAATGATCAACGTTTCTTTATATCATCTGTATTGTTTGTATCATGAATTATAGATCATGCTATGCATCTCTGATAATCAAGTTACCTTAACCTTGAAGAGAAGAACGAGTGTTTCGCTTTTTTTAGTGTGATATCACTTGTTATATGAACTAGAATAAATAGATTCTACAAAAGAGATATTTGTTAATATCATGACTGGTCTTTGTCATATTTAAATACTGAATGTTTCATGTTACAAATTAACATTAATATTAGTGAGTATATATGTGAACATGTTAATGCCTAGTAAACAAATGGAAAATCATAAAAGTTGGAAAACAGATAGTTCATGATAATTTTTTCATACTGATTAATACCATACTTTAAAAAATTCTAATCTAATGTCATAAGTATCATAGAAATAATAAGTTCAGCATTTTAGATCCATACATGCATCCGCTGAGTTAAATTACTAAACACACATACTACTATTGAGACATTGGACAATGACATAGACATGCAAATTTATACCAGCTATCATTTTGATCAACAACAAAAAAGTGCTAACTTAACTTAGATTTTATCGAACCCACACAAGCAAACAATTTTTCTACGTAATTATTTATGTATTACTTCATGTTAACTGGGTGAAAATATTCTATAATGCTAAGTGTTAATGTATTTCAACGAATCTATAAGCCTAACAAACATTTACATTACTTAATCACCCTTAAACTGCTAATTCACTTTTTGTTGTAAATCTGGAATTTCAAGATCAAATTCTGAGAGAAAAACAAGGAAGTAAGCATTGGGTTGTGGAAACAGTTAGATTTCAATAAAATCACGGACAGGTCTAAATTATACAATGATTCAATACCTGAAAGCAATAAACTCTTGCAAACTGACTGGATTACATCGTTGGATACCGGCTCAGTGGTCTAGAGTATAAGCGTTCAAACACGAAACTGATGGTCCTGGGTTTAATTTCCACTTGCGGGGTCGTGGATGCGTACTGTTGAGGAGTCCCATACTAATGCTTCCAGATTTACAATAGTTGTCTAACTTAGATCGATTTGTAATTACAGTGATATAAATTAGAATAAACGAGCGTTCCAGATTTCACTGAGAGCTACTTTCTAGCTTTACCAAATCTCATTTGGTTGTTTGCATTTTTAAGCATACTAATATCAACAGTTTCACCACTTTAAAAACAGATCGAAATGTATTTGTTTTATATTTTATAAATAATGTTGAAAAAAAACATGTTTAAGCAAGTCGTATCCTACTGTGCACAAGGTTCAAATGTGAAAAAAACACATCTGTGTAAAATATTAATACTGGTTGGATAAGAATAATTCCTAGCTTATTAAATCAAGACCTAGGTATGACCATATTTTTAAGGTTCACTAATTAGTCTTTCAATTCTTATAAAACCAACAGTGAAACCAGAACAACTCAACGACTTTGAATAAATGCGCTTTTATCCAAACACAAACGGACAATTCGACTATTACACAACATTCTCGTTTTTAAAAATGCTGCTGAAATATGGACCAGCACTTACTGAATTCTATGACTTTCAGTAAGATCTGTAACCATATTGCTGGATGGAACTTGTTATCGTTCTACAGTCAGACTGATTGAATCTAAACACTACCGTATCATACTTTAATGAGAACCAAACAAAATATTGAGCGTTACCGTTCAGCAGTATATACCTTACGGCTTTAGCCTTCGTAAATCTTCATTAGTTAATTACTTCTCGTTTTTTATTGCCTTACTTTATGCTCTTCTATTTAGAGAATGTGTTCTTCTCGCTTTATCATAGTCGTTTTTCATGATTTATATATTCTATGATGTAGACTGATAATGTGATCACGATTACTGAGATATAAAATGATGATAATAATGTATATGATGATAATCACGTAGTCTATAGAGAATTAAGTGGTGTCGACTTGAACTGACCAGTTGTATGTAAGCACTATATCATTGAATACTACCACTATAAAACTTAGTTCATAAGGTTTTCTGTAGTTTGCCTTTAAGTGTATAACCGTGTTTTTTTTGTTTACACTCTAGGACTAATAAACTAAATTTCTAAACAAAATGACTGCTTCTCATAACGATAGAAAACAGAGTTAGCTAGTTCAAAACAGATATAATGACATTTCTGATTACATAATAAAACCAAATAAGAATTTATAATCATTCATAATGTATCTCTTTAAATATTTAATTCAATCAAAATAACTTATGTACAATAATGTATGTATTTTTATGTACAGTTAATTGAGTTTAGTGTTCAACAGTGGTTTTGATTGTTTACCATCAAATATGTTCACTTTTTTTTATTTACAAGGCGCTGAAATTGTAGTATTTAAAAAAGTTTTCTTTTTATCATATCCTTTTACCCCAGTTGATCAATATCATCATCTGTCTGATATGGTGTACTACCATTGGAATTTAAATATTCATAGGATTTTGATAAAAAATTATCATCAGTTATGTAATTATTATTTAGTTGAGGCCTGTTATGATAAGAACTATTAGCACGAAAAAGCAAATTGTCTTCTGGTATTGATTGTGATGGATTATTCTGACTAGATAATAATTTAAAAATGAACGCTGGAAGTAAGGAGGATGATGACAATGAGGAAGAATGGAGATTACCTGTAGGATGAAGAAAAGAAGAAAATAGTGGATTGATGAAAAAAATATTATTTTTCAAAAGGAATTAGGTTTAATTGTACTCTTTATCTTGTCCAAAGCTCTATCATTTAATATTTTCAACATCTGTTATAAAAGAATCATATTCAATACCGACATTTTTTTGTAACAATGTCTTAGTATCGAGATATTCTGGATATTTTTTAACATCTTACAATACTGAACATCTTTGTTTTAGTAAATGAATTCAACTCATACATTGTTATTGTCAGTTTTTGAGAACGGGACAAGTATAAACAGTTGAATTTATGAGCCGATCAAAGCTAGACCACCACTGAAAACCGTATAGCACTGGACGGCCATTTCGTCATAGTATAGGACTCCTCAGCAATGCACATCTACGATCCCTCACACAGGATTCGAGTCCAGGACCTTCGGTTTTGGGCGCGGACACTTAACCTCTAGATCAGTGAGCTCGCATTCAACGGTGTTAATGTATAACTTCAATTGATTCATGATCTTGCGCAACTCTTTGTCGCGGATGTGCACTGCTGAGAAGTATCATACTGAGACGAAACGGCCGTTCAGCACTTCCAGGTTTTCAATGGTGGTCTAGCTTAGATCGACTCATAAATTCAACTGATGAAATTACTACAATCTCCACAGATCCCCATTCTGATAACGAGACAAGTATTGTACAATAAGAGTGAAATACTTCTGAATTGTGTTAATTTAACTAATTAGATCAAGATTGAAATATACTTTTTAAATGCGAATCTGACTGAATCTGTTGAATGTAGTCGTTATTATTATTTTTATTATTACTTCTACTACAATATCATTTTGAGAATTTTACCATATGTTTAAATGAGGTATTTGTTTATTATCTGATAGTAGCACGCATGCATATTATATACACACATGAACATTTATTTTTATAAATAGAGAATTTGGAATCATACCAAGTGATATGTGAACAGAACATGTGTTATTCATTTACATAAATAATTCTATTGACTTAACAAATCATTACCAGTATGACCTGATAGTTACTAACACTATTCAGATGTTTATTTCTAAGATGGACATGTCTCAAGTTTTAAGTAGACAACTTGAAAATATCATCTACAAGTCGATTGAGAAATAAACATGGTCTTCCTTTTTGCAATAGATCCAAGGAATAGTATCTAGATTAAACATCGAAGTATTTTCAGCTGGATGTTGTTAGCAATTATTATCCGAGTAACTTCAGTATTTCGACCTTTATTTTATTAGAAAATTAGCATAGATAAGCTAAAAACATGGCTAAAACTACAGGGCATGATAAATTCTAATAGCAACTTAGCAAAAGTAATAAATAGTAGAAATCTTAATTCAATATTTGAGACTTAATATTATATTATTATGTTGTATCATATTTAAGATGAACAAATAGAATTAGCGTATTTATATACAGTTGAACCATACCAACAATTTTACGAGACCTGTAAATATCTTCAAACTACAATAACCCTATACCCATGGTTGAAGGTAAACTGACTATTAAAGAGAAAATATACTTTATGTCGCATTCTATTACTCTTCTCAATCAATCGTTTTGAGAATTAAATAAATTATAAATAATGTGGTGAAACTTTAACAAACTGGTCATAATGATCAGTATTGGGTTGTAGAGACCATGAATTTACCTAATGATATTGACTTCTGTTTTTTTCACATTCTCATAATTTAGTAACTGAATAGTTAAATTCATGAGTCAATTAAATCTAAACCACCATTGAAAAACTTAAAGCACTGGACGACCGTTTCGTCCAAGTATGGGACTCCTCGGCAGTGAGCATCCACGGTCCTGCATGCCGTCTCAGTGATCTGGAGGTTTAGCGTCCGCGTATTACTGAAGATCCCGAGTTCGAGTTCCGCGTACAAGGTCGTGAGTACGAACTGCTAAGGAGTCCCGCACTAGAACGAAACGACTGCCCAGTGCTCTCAGGTTTTCAAAGGTGTTCTAACATTGATCGATTCATGATCTCAATCAAATGATCATAATAGCATAAACAATACAAAACAAAACTTACTGTTTTCAATTGAGGTTTCTACATTGATAATATTTAATCGTCGAAGTACTGCTTGTTCTAAATAGTTTATATGCTTTATTGCTTCTTGAATAATTTTCACCTAATAGAAAAATTAATGGGGTAAAAAGATTTATGTATGTATGCACAAACTTCCATTTACATAACAGAGTACATGATAAGTTTCAGATTACCACAAATGAGTAGTCGGCAGGGTAAGTAAAGTTACATTGTTTATTAAAATAATATGCGAAGCAAAATCTAACAATGATTAATCTGCCTCATTAAACCAGTAAAACGGCTCATTGGATTTGATAAAAATATCAGAATAACTTAACTTATATCTATGTAAACAATGTAAATAGTCATTGGTAAAACTGTCAATTCTGTCACTTGAATTAAAGGAAAACGCACGTAAATGTAGGACGACAAACTGATAATGAAAAAACGTGATCTTATTTAAAAATTTGTCAATATGAAAGAGATTAGTTTTAAGAACGTGATTAATTTGATAATTTTATGATAGAATTTCATATACATGATTCCTTTTATTATCGCAAAGAGAGCAGAAACAAAGACTGGTGCAGAATAATGTGAATTCATTTTATTTCATTAGGTTCTCATTAGCTGCTTATTACAGATATCGACATGCTTATAGGTATGTTTCCATTATCTTTATACTCGAAGTTAACTGACTATAGTAGTAGTCATAAATTACTATTACAAACAATAAACATTTTACGAAAAGTGGAAGATTATTCAGGCTAAAAAGTGAATTGTTTTAGAGTTATAATCTGAGGATTATGGTTCTTTTTAGGCAATCTTAGGGAAAACTTGTGTGTTATGAGGATCTCTTTTGCTTTTGCTTAGAGAATTCTCAGTTTTAGTCTTGCATCAAAAGACTTCTAGAATCTTATTATAAACACAATATAATATGATCTACAATAATGAACAACCAGTTGTATATATGTGAGCTCTTGGATGCAGATACATCCAGTACAAAAAAGTACAGAACACTCCAAATTTAGCCACGATCCAAGTGTACTAAAATTTATAACTAAAGCAGTATCTAGTCAAATCACACAGGGTGCATATATTCTAATAAAGATTGGTCAGTTACAGTCCTGGAAATTCAATCCAGCCTGCAACAAAAGGTATGACAAAGTTGTAGAGTTCTGGTGCTTCTAAAAAAATAACTCGATCTACAACATCAATACAGTGTATACATGATTGTAAGGTTTAATAACTTACTTCATCCAAATTTTCACAGTTTGCAACAGTTGGTAGAATTTCCTTCAATCGTTCACATTCAATTTGATGTGGTTTTAAAGAATTATTATCATTTAATCTTTTTAAGTATGTTCTTTTTCGGATATTTTTATTCAATCCACTGAGTGGTTTGAATGTAGATTGACATCTTCGTTTTGTTAAAAGTTTTCGTTGAATCGGTGATAGATTTCCGATACAATTTCGCGACATAATGTCTTTGAAGTAAAGCAAGAATGCTGTGAAAATAATGAAATAAAAATTTATAACAATATGGTTTTAAATAGAAAAGGTGTATGCCTCAAGTTAAATATTCGTGATTTTGATTGGACAAAATAAGGGAGACAGAAATATAATTAGACCAATCGGAATAATCTGCGTCCTTTCAAGTTACATTTACAATTCATTATTTCATTAAAATGACCATGTACATAATCATTTTTCTAACAAAGGGAAAAAACGACTACTAAAAAGGGCAGTATTTAACTCAGAGGGTGTGTTTGAAAAAAAGAATATTTTCTGAATCCATTGGAACCAACCATTTTATTTTATCGGTATTGGGATTTTATTGGATTTTATCTAATGAATATTGAGATATCTTGTTGCTTCCTGATTTCTGGAACAGTAAACAGTTCATATGCTTGTAAATGAGAATAAAGAATTAAAAAAATAACACGCTAGTGAATCACACGCTTAGATACAAAAAAACCATTAGGGGGGAATTACTCAGCACTTAATATATTCCAGTAGTCAAAAGATATCGAAGTTGTGTTATTGACAAATAGTGTTTGCAAGTGATTTTCACCATGAATTAACATTAACTAGAAAACCACCGGAAATCAGAGAGTACTTGGCAATTATCAGGTTAAAACACAATTATATGAACGAGGACTATTCTTTTCAATAATTCCTCATCAGGTTCTACAATTATAAATCCAAATTAATAACCCATAAATTGGCCAGACTTAAGGCAGAGTACATCATTTAAAACTGTAATATGTGACTCAATAATTGTTGTTTGTCATATAAAATCAATTCAAATAGTTAATGACGGGGCTGACTAATATGAAGTGTTAACTTACCAGGTTTCATATCAGGACTTCTGTACGAAGATCACCCAAAACTGTTTAATAATTAGAAACTCTGATCCTCAAGTCTCATGACACGAGTATTGTGCTGATTAACATCATGATGCATTGTAAAAAGTACTTCAGTACATAAAGTGGTTAACAGAACTAATTATTTACCTGTAGTGGATTCAGAATGGGAAACACGATTGTAATGCTTGTACAGTTAAGACATATATAGTCCAGGGCTTTAAATAGGCCACCTTAAGATACTTCACCAAGGATTATACAGGCGAATATCAATAGTAATAAAATCATTCTTGAAAACATATTTGTTCAGGGCTATAATAATAAACCGTGAAATAAAGCTAGCTGAGAATATCAGCAAATATATATAGTGGGTAGCAGTGGAATCCAGGAAGCGCGTTTCGTCCTACTTGGGACTCGTCAGCTGGATGTACCTGCATCTCAGGGTTGATGTTCACTCCGGGACTCGAACCCAGTACTGTTCACTTCAAACGTCATCGCGTTATCCACTTATCTACTGAGTCAAGTAAACAATGTTAAGCGAATTTAAACTTCACCCTATAGCACAAGCAATTGGCTATCAGGACTCAGTAGATAAGTGGATAACGCGATGGCGTTTGAAGTGAATAGTACTGGGTTTGAGTCCCGGAGTGAACATCAACCCTGAGATGCAGGTACATCCGGCTGACGAGTCCCAAATAGGACGGAACGCGCGTCCTGGATGCCACTGCTGGCCACTATGCATTTTTGCTTAGAATGCTTGTGAATTAACGCAATATTGAGGCAATACTCACAATGTGCACAGGTACCAATAAGAGATTGATCCACTGCAGTCCTAAGCATCAATGAAGACATTCAAGTAAACAATGCCAAGTGAATCTAGCTGAGGATAGCTTCAATTTTCGATTCGATAATATCGAAAGCCCCAGACCAAACAAAGATTAGTTAAGGTTGATTAAAAAGAGATGTATGGAAGTAATTATGTAATAAAAATAATCCCTTAGATTAGAACATAATACGTTGCATCTGTAAAGTAAGATAAAGTATTCAAGATAAATGAGAGAAAATGGTCTGATGAAATAAAAAGGTGTAGAGTTTGAAAATGAAACAGTGAGAGGAGGGAACGATCAAACATTTTATTCATGTAAGGTTATTCTACAATTTTCCAATAGCTTATTTGCGCAAAGGAGACATTCACATTAGCCTTCAGATTTAAGAATTATCCCTAAGACGCTTTGAAAACTAAGTAACATTGTATGCTTGTTTATTTTCAGTTTGAGACTCTGCGGCACTTAAGGTACACAATGAATTGGACGCATAAAATTTAGATTATGAACAGAGCGTGAATAGGTCATTTACTCCATTCAACTAGCCACATTTTCTAAATGTAGTGGTAATACAACTTGACTGTTATCTGTCGTCAGTCGTGAGTAAATGACTCTTTTAATGGTTGACTTCATATGTCAAGTTACAATTTGTTTAGTTTGAGAAAAAAAGAGATTTATTAAGATCTTTTTACATAAATATCTTTTAGTTTCAATAATTCGCTTCATTCATATAGTTACATTCGAAATAATTGAGAGAATCTTATTAAAATAATCTACTTCACAAGTGGCTAACATTGAAATCGATTTTTAATGAAGTTAGTTAGTGCGTAGCGATGGAATCTAGGCCTCAGATTTCGTCCTATTTGAAACTCATCCGCTGAATTTACATGCATCCTAGTATTGGAATTCACACTAAAACTCAGAACCAGTACCTTTCCTTTCAAACATCTAATAGACAATCCATTAAGTGAATGAGCCTAAATAGGAGCTAGCTTATGTGAGGGGTATGTGCATATTATAACAGAGAGTGATCAACTAAATTATTTAATAACAACAGCTAGGAAACATGTACTCTGAGGAATCTAAAATCGATTCCCTGAAGTTTGGGTTTTAAACCATGATCCTGGCAGAGTTAACTAAGTTGACATCGATGCAGTTACTCACTGGTAAACATTAACTAACAGTTGTATTCACCAAAATTGAAACATGTGAACCGATTACTTCCCATTCAACAGAAACATATTTTTTGATTGAGATCATGAACTGACTGATGTTAGACCACCATTAAAAACATGGAAGCACTGGACAACCGTTTCGTCCTATTTTGGGCCTTCTCAGCAGTGCGTATCAACGATCCCGCTTGTGAGATTCAAACCTAGGGCGCGCGAGACTAGTGACTAGCTTCGTGAGAGAATTGTCGGGGTCCTAGTGAGAAGCTATAACCAGTGGAGCTAATCTGTGTCTGGTAGAGACAGGTATCTACCTCAGTACAATGGAAGATGGTCGCGCGATTTCGTGGATTGGTTGAGGTTAGAAATTAACACTGTTGGATGCCGGCCGATTCAGTGGTCTAGAGGTTAAGCGTTCGTGCACGAAACTGAAGGCCCTTGGTTCGAATCTCACGAGCGGGATGGTGGATGCGCACTGCTAGGGAGTCCCACAATAAGACGAAACGGTCGTCCACTGCTTCCATGTTTTCAATGGTGGTCTAACATCAATCGGTTCATGATCTCAATCGAAAACTTAATAATCTCCACAGCCCTCTACTGATAGAAACATATTTACCTTAAAACAGAAAACACCATATATAATTTGAATGTACAGATTACTGATGATTCTTTAGCATCAACTGACTATAAATTCATAATTTCCAATGCTGTTAGTTAATAATGAAGATAAACTTTAAATCTGACAGCTTTTATTATGTATTGTCATATGTTTTATAAGAAACTTTAAACCCTGGGTAAATTTCTCTTCTTCTTATATGACTTATTCATGTAGGTAACATGAACAGGTGTCCTGTTTCTAAATGATAGAAATAGGCTTTAAAGAAATTAAGATCATAAGATGTATATCACAATTGTCCCATGTTAATTTACTTCTAATTTCTATTATCCTCATTCATTGTTCATTTAAACAACAAAACTTGTCGTTATGATCATCATGTTTCTCTTTATCATCTCTTTATATTCATCCGAATTAAATGTAATTATTATTTTCATTATTATGGAACTTGGTAACTAAAGCGATTCATATCCAGTTAGGGATAATGAAATTATTGAGCGGGTAAATAATTTAACAATTAGAAGAAGGCTTGTCAAATATGGTGATTGCACATGATTAATACTAATAAATAACTTGAGTGAAAAACATGTTCGCTAATTTAACCGTGAGTTAATTCACATACATTTATAATAGCAGGTTTACATGTTCAACATTTTCCCGACTAGAACATCATCATCATCATCGTCATCGTTATAATCATGAATGGATTTAGTTTCAGTAGTTAAGAGGATATGGTTATTTCTATTTCATATTTTTTTAAGAAAGAGTGACATTATTTCTAGATTGAATTTCATTAAATATCACTAAGACTGATTAAATTTACACAATGTTAGTGAGGAGATTAGTAGACTAAATGTCTGTGTATAATAAGTTGAATCATGCATAAAAGAATCAGTGAAAATTTTCAAATGGGGATGAATGTTAAAAATTATTTACCAAGTAAATCAATTGGGACGATAATTTATACCGTGGGATTTCTGGAGCATTTGTTGTAATACAATGTAAATCACAAAAAGTATTGGTAATCGCCAATAACTTAAACATTTAAAGTGATGTCAATGATTTTTAATATTCAGTCCCATAAAAATATTCAAGGAAATAATCTTGGAATGAATTTCAAACTTTACCATACAGTGAGAGACTGAAGCAAATTTTCTGATTGCTAGTTGAAAGATATAGATAGAGAACACAAATATACATATTTCCTCCCAACGAAAGTTATTCCCATTAATGGAATGATACTCAAACCTTGGACTCTTTTTCAAGTTTCTGTCAGTCACTCAAGTAGTGAAAAAAAGCTACTATCAAATAAATGTGATATGAATTATTCCTACCATTTGTAACGATTTAGGTTACATACTATAATCATCGATTAAGGGTGCTTAGTTAGTCATAAAATATGCGATAGTGGTTTATAGGAATTTTAAATATCTATATCATGTTTCCACTCATTAAGATAAATTGTGAATTAATCTCGACAGTTAGAGTTTCAGTTCGAGAAGAACAATAGGCTGGATGCTTTGTGTTATTTCTCGTAATGGTTTTTTTCAGCTTGTCCGATTTTCTTTTGAACACGTTGATAAAAGGAGCTTCAACCACATATTGAAGTTTTAATCGGAAAGTCGATAGTCAGCTGACATATAATTATTTCAGAGCTTATGACATTTTTTGAGAGTTTTCTTGAATCCTCTGTTCTGTAAGGCAAGAAAAATAGAAGTAAGTTAGGCGCAAAATGATTATCAAATAATTTAAAAGATTATGAATAGATCAGCAGTTCCTTTTGTATAACAAGGGAATAGTTCTAGTCTAACCTGTCTGTCGTCATACGGTAGGTCTCAGATTGTTATAATCAATTCAGCTACAGTTGTTTGGACCTTAATAAAAAAAACTCATTGACTTTCGAACAGAGGGCAAATGTTTGCATGGAGCACTTAAATCTTAGCCAACTGAACATTATTCACAAAGTAAAGAATGCCTTAACATCTATGTAGTCGAAGGTTCTACCTAGTGATCGAAGACTTCTGTACTTTCGGCAGCTATTGTACATTATTATGCAATGGTTTTCAGTGGAAAAGATTTGTAGCTCAAGTGGATGATTTTGATGGAGTTTTGTTCTCTGAGCTGGATGGTTTAGTCGTGGAGCTTTCATCGTCCTTCTGAACGACATCATCAGCACAAACTTCAGGTAGAAGTAAAGTTTTTCCTGATGATGTCGTTCAGAAGGACGATGAAAGCTCCACGACTAAACCATCCAGCTCAGAGAACAAAATTCTATCAAGTGGTTTTCAGTTCTTGACTGGCAAAGATTCTTAGATCATCGTTGATTGAGTTGGAAAAATTACATTAGTGGTAGTCACAAAGAAATTCTAGTATAACTTAGACGAAATTTCAGCTTCGTGGTTAGAAATAAGAAACATGTATTTATATTTGGATTACTGAATTTTATTGTATTAAGAAAATTAAACGTCTATTATTATTATTATTATTATTATTATTATTATTGTTATTATTATTATTATTATTATTATTACTATTATTATTCGGTCATGTATCTTAT